TTTCTGGATGCTGGTCAAGATTTGTCACACTGAGGCTATCTTCTGCTGGCTATATCTCTGTGAAGCAAATATTTTTTTTTAACTAGAAAACTCCAAAAATTATGTTCTGAAGTTCTGGTTTTTACTTTAAAAAAATCCTTTTCTGTAATAGAATGGAGAAATGTCATATAACCTGCCCTACTTAAAATAGAAACTGCTATTTTTTAATTTCTTATTCAGCAAAAACTACATGGCTCACGGTTATTAATCAAAAAGGGATATAGGTGAAGAGTATTTTAAAAGTGGCCATATAATACTTCTGATAAGAATTGCTGGAAAAGTTTAATTTAGGCTTTCAAAAACTTTAAACTGGCATGATTGATCATTTTTCCAATATTTGGATTGGTTTATGTTGATATCATTTTGTACCAGTTTAAATTTATGTCTTCCATTTTTTTTATTCTTTTCTTAAATATGTTCTTTTAATATCCTTTTTTCATTATTGTTTCATGTAGTCTTTTATGTTTAATTTCTCTTATCTATTGTCAAGAGAATTTTGTTATTGGATAGCTTGAAATTGAAACAAATGAGGAAATTAATGCTTGCCAGTCATGCTCATACTAATAAAAGAAAGCAAGGTTTTTTATTTTAATTTTTTTTTGCCTGGTTTCTCTTTTCTTTTGTTTCACATCCTTTCTTAGGTAGTGCTGGCACTCCAGTGATGTTTAATAAGAATGGTGATGCACCAGGACGTTATGACATCTTTCAATATCAAACTACAAATACCTCCACACCAGGCTACCATCTGATAGGCCAATGGACAGATGATCTACAGCTCAATGTATGTCCCCTTTATTTTCTTCTTTCATGGATATTGCAGTAAGAAGTATGCTATTTTTTTGCCAAACACATGCTGAATATGTCTCTATTATTTTATATAAGTTTCTCTTTGGATAATGAGATGATGTTCCCATTATATGCTTTGAACCTATGATGATCTAAATATCTAAATGTCTTGTGAAGTGTTGCGATTTTGGGATCGAGAAGAATCCAAACTGGTTCCAGAAAGTAGATTTAAATAGTATAAGTTTATCCATAGAATTATTTATAGAATAGAATTCTTTATTAGCCAAGTATGATTAGACACAAGGAATTTGTCTGTGGTTCATAAGCTCTCAGTGTACATACAACAATAGTGATAGATCGTTATCATAGTCATTGTAAAAATATATTTATCATATAACATTAGATACAACACTTAGTGATAGTCATGGATACCAAATAAGCAGTCAACATAAATCATACTAGGGTATCTTCTGTTAACATAGACGTCTCAATTGCCATAGTTTCCTCAATATTATCTTATCCTAGAGATAATATGCTAAATGTATGAAACTATGTTGAGTCAAGTGAAAAAAAAAGGATTGGCTTAGTAAATCGTTAGTCCTTCAGATGCTACTCATATTTCAAAAAAAAATAAAAAAGTGTCAGAGAGAATTTATATGTATTTTGTTCAAAGTGTGTGTGTTTG